GGACATTTTGGTATGTTTTCAATTTTTTGTTTTTATCAAAATTTAACAAATATATATATAATTTATATATTAATAAATTAGATATCTAACAAAGATATTTTTACGATGTAGTTTTGGTATCGATAACTGCGTCGGTCGGAGCGTCTCCAATATCATCAAGGGGTTCTTCATACTCTTCATACAACCCCGTACTAGCTTTAGGAAGCTGGATCAGGCCATTTTCAACACTTGGTTCAAGTGTTTCGCGGTTAGTTTATAAATATCGATTTATTTATTTTAACATTATTTACATTAATTTTAAAATAATTTCTAACTAACTTTTCTTTTTATAGCAAAAGTGGCATTGAGAACTTTCTCCACACGGCCGTGTGAAGACGGCGTTCAGAGAGAAGGTGAAGCTGCGCCTCAACAACACCATTTCCGACTGGAAGAGGAAGTAGGAGGTTGACAGAGACAAGGCAAAGCCGGCGCCTATGGCTGATAATGTCTCGGAGGGTCTAGTACAGAAATGACTAGATCTGTATTCCCATACCATTGCCGCTAAGTGTTCGAGATCCAAGTTTGTTTTTAATTTAAATTAATATATGTTTACGGATATATATAATAATATTTTTATTTATATAAACTAACAAATTTTTTTAGGAGCGCTAAAGATGATGCGGGACAGCTAAAAAATGTCTCGCACACTTCCGGCCAAGTCCCTTTTGCTGGGAGAAGTCTGATGATGGTAAGTTTAATTAACAAGTTATTTTTCAATTATTTTTATTAAAATTGTCCATTTGATTTTGTAGGTTGAAGAAAACGGGGAAGAACTTCTTCCAATGACGAAGGTCTTCACCGAGACCCACAATAAGAAGAATGGCGAATTCACAGATCCTCGGGCGGAGGAGATCTACAACGCTGCCTGTGCGAGGATCGAGGAGCGGCAGACGCAGTTCTCGCAGCAGGTATCTCCGACGTCTCGCGGAGGTAGCTCGGTCCAGTCCATACTGACCACGACGGTGGCGGAGATAGACAAGATCTTTGAAGAGGTAAATTTTAATTTATTTTTTCCTACTTAACTTCTTTAAATATATTTGTTTCAATAGGTGTTTTACTTATGTTTTCATCATATTTTTGCAGGTTGCCCCTCGAGAAAAAGGCAGAAATTTAGGGATGAGATCCATCTATGATACCCCGATCGCTTCTGCAACTGGTCATGTCCGGGCAGAGGATCTTGTGATTATCGGCAGGAGTTGCAGCAGATGTGGACGCAATACAAGACGAAGAACGAACAGTTATACAGTCTCTTTGATATTTTGGGCGCCACAACCCCTTGATCGCGGCACAGTTGGACAGGATGCGGGCATCTGGATTCCTCGTCGCTTTTTCTTCATTCTCGAGGAGGCAACCACCGGTGCAGACGGAAAAAGAGATGTTCCAGTCTCTCGGGGTAGATCCTCCTAGAGCCGAGGACCAAGCGCCGGAAAACTTCAACTGAGTTGTCGGCAAGCAACCTGCAGACCAAAACGGAGAGCAGGAGGAAACATGGATAGACGCATTAGTGTACATTTAGGACTTTGATAAGTTTTTTGTAATTATTGTAATTTAAAAAAAAAATAATTAAATTTTAATATTAAATTTGTTAATTATATTTTATATTCTTTTTTTTAATTATGAATTTCAATTCAGTTTAATAATTTTTTTTTCTAACAAAATATCGTATAATCATTATAATATATTTATTATTATTTTAATATATCAACGTAATATTACGACGAAATAACGAATAGAACAAAAACCAATACGACAACATTACGATGGTTTTTGCGTCGTAGAATATACAACGGTCATACGTCGATTTTTTATGACGATTTTACGATGGATACGAGGCAAATCGATGTAAGCTAGACGTAAGTTTACGACCATCACGTTCGTCGTAAATTCGTTGGAAGTTTTATGACGCTTTTACGACGGATGTTGTACGACGGTTTTAGACCGTCCTAAATTTTACGACGATTTTACGACGGAATATCTTTTATGACGATGCCTTTACGTCGGTTTTGAAACCGTCGCAAGTGCATCGTAATAGATATTTTACAACGGTTTCGGCCGTTGTAAAAGGGCATTTTTCTTGTAGTGGGTGTTTTAAACACCTGGTTACAGAGAACTCGGTTTAGAGAGAGAGAGAGTTACAAGTAGAGAAAGAACGTAATAAATTCGGGATCCGTGATAAATGATATTCGAAGAGTATTTATAGTGGGGGTCAGCAGGCATATCTCCGCGTATTTCGGGGAGACGTGGCAGGTCTCCGCGTATTCCGAGGAAATGTGGCAGGTCTCTGTCTATCTTGGGGAGACGTGGCAGGTCTCCGTGTATTTCGGGAAGGCATGGCAGGTCTCCGCGTATTCCGGGAAGGCATACATGTCTCTGCATATTCTGGGATGAAGTGACAGTCTTAGTGTCTTTCAAGGGTATGGCATCTCGAGTCACACACTTAGGTTGTTCTAGGGCGGGTAGGTAGTTATGAGCTTGGCACCGAGCTACTATGCAAATAGGGTACTGTTGGCGAACTGCCTTTCCACATGTCGATCTCTGTTTGGTTCAGACACTGTAGATTGGCGCGCGCAGGTGTCAGTTCGGTGGGTTCCAGCTGACTGAATATATTGAATTCTGCATTGATTTGGTCAAACAGGCTTTAATGTTAGTGTTAAGATGAGCCTAACTGATTGGGGGTCCTAAATCCACCTCCAACAGTTTCTGAAAACAAACAGAGAAAAGAAGACTAGAGGAAGGACAATGACGAACCAGAAACTTGGCCCGCTGTAGTAGAAATCGAGCATAGAGTTGATGATATACTAGAGTTTAGAGAAGGAGAGATTTTTTTCATGACTATTATTTTTCTCTCTTTAATATCTAGTTATTTATTTAATTAATTGTTGTTGAGCATATAAAATATCATTTCTAGTGTAAAAATAAATCAAAATGGCAAAATTTTAAATATAAAAAAATAACTTGGAATACATGTCTATTAATTTAAAACTAGAGTCATTCTACATAAACCTGTCAATGATGAATCATTCTAATAATTTTTCTTATAATTAGAATCATTTTAAGTAGATTCTCTCTAATTTAACTTGAACTAAATATTTGAATTTTTGTTTTGTTTATGTTATAAAGTAAACTGGTCACCGGTGTACATATAATATTTTACAAAAGTAGCTGTATAAGTAAAAACAAAAAAAAAACTCTACATTTTTCATAATATATTAGTTTTAGGTTTTTAGCATGTTAATATATTACGTTCTCGAGTGACTAAGATATCATCAACTGTAAGATTATTACAATGGGACTGTTAAAAAAATAATTCAAAGATGACAAAAAAAAAATTCAACAGTTTAACTCTTCAAATGAAGATGTTGAAAAATAACTTTAACGTACGTGGATTAATTGGAGTTGAAAAAATTCAACTAGTTGAATTAATAAAAAGTGGGATTACCAGTGCCATGTAGTGTATTATAGAGCTACTGAATTTTTTTAAAATTTTTTATCCTAATTATTTAAAATAATTTATTTTGTAGTAAATTAATTTATTTTCTATTTTTTTACCAGAATATATTTATCATTTTTTATATTTTATAAATATTTATTTAATTTGAACACATAAAAAAATTTTTATTATAATTTTCTCAATTATTATTTAATAAACTAATGTTTATATTTTAATTTTTTTTAATAAAATGGATTACAATAATAATTCTTTTAATATAATTATAATTTGATTTTGAATTAAAAATTTATAAAATTAGGAAAAATTATAAAATAAAATAAAAATATGAAATATAGTGGAGTATGATGTTAAATTTTATTAAACAAAATTATTGTAGTTTAAAATTATATTAGATGTTGAATGATTAAATAGAAGAAACAATAATATGGAATGTCAAAATTTGAGGTAGAAGATGTTGAATCTAACAATAACAAGTCTAAGCTACGGGAAAAGGACCAAAAACTAGTTGAACTAAATTTCGTGGGCCAAAAAAAATATGAACTAAAATACGGGGTTAGAACCTATCTGAACTCATAAAAAATTTGAATTGTCTATCTGCATTCATATGTAAGTGCTATAACCTACCTTAACCAGGAATCTGTTAGTCAACATTAACGGGCTGCTGAGGTGGACAACAAGTCAATAATGATGTGGCAATAAAAAGGAAAACAACATCGTTTTAAGAACTCTCAGAACAAAATAAACTTACACAAAACAACGGCGTTTTGAATTGGGAAAAAAAATTAAAAATCTCCAAATCGATTTCATTCAAAATTAGGGTTCTTGTTTTCTCTTCTTCTCCGATATAAAGAGTTTAGAAGAAGTCTAATGGAATTTCAAGGACGAGGGTTTCCTAAGAGATGTAGGTGCAGCGAAGCTATTGTAATGAAGACGTCTGGTACTGCTAAGAACCCTGGAAGGCTGTTTCATGTGTGTCCACACAGAAAGGAAGGAGTAAGTGAATTCATTTTCGGGTTTGAGCACTGAGATGTGTTGGAAGAAGCTTTTAATGTCGATTGATTTATGTTTGTATATGTAACAGGATAATTGGTATCATACATTCAAATGGACGGATACATGTATGGTTGAAGAGCTTGAGGACTTGATTGACAAAGTGGACAATATTGAAGAGAGTTCAACGACATTGCAGAAGAGCTTCAATGTTTGCGAGTCTGAGATTGATACATTGACCATGGAGACGCGTATGTGTGAGGCTGTGGTTGCAAAAGAAGTGGGAGATCTCAAAATGCAGCTCCGTAGCTTGAAGAACCTTGTGGGATTTGGTTTTGTGATGTGGTTAGTTTATGTGTTTCTGTTTTAAGCAATCGATGTTCCATATGCTTTATCCCTTGTAATCTTGTTGGAATGTAAGCCTAGAATCTATGTTTGTGTGTAATCTATGTATGGTTGTTAAATCTGAATGATTTGAAACTGAATGAGTTTGAAGGAGAGATATATAAAGCTTCAAAAGAAAGACAATTGTTTGAGCATAATGGTTACAAAAGCAGTCACAAAACAAGAATCTATAATCCAAACAAAAGTACATCATCAAAGCCAACAAAATCAAGTTCAAACCATGACAAAAACAGAGAAAATGAAGTCATGATCTAGGTCTTGAGAACCCTTTTAATCTGATGCCCCTTATGATCTTGTCTTGGTGCTCCACAAAGCTTACATCATCCATCTTCCCTAGCACCAAAATAGAAGAAAACAATGTAGATAAAACTATTACAAGGTCGATAAAACATAAACCATTTAACAAATCATGAAACTTACCTATTCTTGAGTTGGCTGAGTTGGAACTGGTCCATCTCCAAATGATAGAGTCATTGACTCATATCCATCTTGTTCTGTCTCGGTGGCCTCATTTCCATCTTCTACTTGCCTCTTCTTTCTTGCATTTGTTCTCTTTCTTGTTTTTTTGCTGGTTTCCAATACCATATTCTGACATTTGGTTGCATTGTGGCCAGCTTCACCACAACGACCACAATGCATGACTCTTTTTTCTCTAGATGCCTTCTTCTTTTATGGAGACTCATGCCTTGCCTTCTTTTTTTCGGCTTTGGCTTTCTTCCAACTCTGTTCTCAATTTCTTCAACCAAACTTGGTGGTGGCAGCACCTTTGATCCCGAACGTCCCCAAAACAACATACCGTTAACAGGATTGATTGAGTAACCATAGATTTGTTGCTGCCTAGAATTAAGAAACCAATGGGAGATATGATCCTCATGATTTAGCTTCCTCTCAGCGATGATACGAAGGGCATGACGGCAAGGAAGACCACTCATATCCCATCTCCTACAAGCACATGTCTTGAGTCTCATATTGACACTGTAGCTTACACCAGACTCAGGCATCTCATCTCTTGCATTTGCTCCGGGAACCATTACACAATACCTGAGTTTCTTCTGCTCAGCCTCTATCCACTCCACTGCCCTAACCGTGAATCTTCCTTGATGGTTCAATCCTTCTTTCATCCTCTGGTCTATACGTACCATGGTTTTTCTCCTTATTGTCTCTAACATCTCCACCATTGGCATATACCTTGCAGGATCAATAGCATTGTTGAATGACTCAGAGATGTTGTTATGCACGTCCACACAAGAAGCTGCCGGTGAGAAATAGGCGAGGCTGCAGTTCTGAGGATTCTTCTCCATCATGGCTTCATACAGGCGTATATCATAGTTCTTCACACTCTCTATGTTGGCTCTATATTCAGGCTCAGTGAAGCTTTCAGCAACTCTCCAAAACAGGGCCTTCATGTCACTCTGATTTGGGAACAACTTCTTCAAATTCCCATAAATATGTCTAGCACACATCCGATGTTCAATATGAGGAAATACATTTTGAACAGCATTCAGCAGACCCTGAAAGAACATGAGATCAGTATACAGCAAATACAGCAATTACAAGATATGAAATGTAAAAAAAAAACAAGGAAACTATACCTTTTGTCTATCGGATATTATTGTGTAACCTTGACCTTCTTGTAGATTGAAATCAGCCTTCAGCAATTTAAAAAACCAAGTCCAGTTCTCTTCATTCTCCACATCAACAACAGCCCAAGCAAATGGGTACATACCGTTGTTAGCGTCCCTTCCCACCGCAGCTAGTAACTGACCTTTCAAGGTGCATTTCATAAAGCATCCAACAACTCCAAAGATAGGCTGACACCACATAGACCATGCCTTCTTCAGAGCTTCAAAGCAGACGCAAAACCTCCTAAAGACTTCATCTCCATCATCATTGGTAAATGTCTCCAACACCACAGTAGACTCCTTGTTTTGCCTGCAAAACAATATGAATACACATGATCAGCTTTATAAACCATTTAACAGACCAGCTTTAAACAACAAACAAAGTAAAACACTTACTCAAGGATTGCATTTCAATAGTATTTCAGCCTAGAAAACTGCTCCACATGATCACGGTTGATGATGGAGATTGCTTTTGCCTTAGCCTTGTTACATTGGTCATAAGTGGCAATCAAGTTATACCTCTGCTGAATTTTCTCTTGGATTGTCTTTGACCTGTACTCAGGATTAGTCCTGATATCATCAAGAAAGAGCTTCGCAATCACAGACTTCTTCAATATCTTGCTCCTCCCATCCTTAAAGCATGTGTGTACATCTTCATAGGTCTTAACCTTCCACTTTCCGATATGCTCTTCATAGGAACAGTAGATCCTCCAAAGGCAGCCATCTTCAACCCCACAAATAGCTCCACACTTTATTTTACCCCAAGGGTTTTGCTTGATATTCTATCATTCCTTTAGAGAATATTCCACCAATGCTTCCTTGAAATCTTTTAAGGTGTCAAACACCTGGTTTAATTTCAGCTCACCACTCCCTTTCTTCCATCTCACCAGCTTTTCACCATGTTCTTCACCATCAGTGTTGGAAGGCGTGTTGTGGTAGTCAAATTCTGGATCTTCATCAACAAACCCAAGTGTATTCTTTTCAACCCTTGTATCTTCTTCATCACGCTCATAATAAACTTCATCAGCTGGATGCTCCTCTTCATTAACCATAAAAACCTCTATAACACCACACCACTTAGCCGCTTCAACCATTTCTTGAAAACTCTTATCCCCATTGCACAACAACTTCCGCTAGTGGAGAAGTTCAAATGGCAGCTTATACCACAGCTTCTGGCCAGAAACTTTCTCTTGAGACAGTTTGGTGAATAATGCTTCAGGATAACACTCGATGCTTTTATTTTCACCACCAAAGTATGAGACATCCCCTGAAAAAGACTTCACCCAATGACCGCCGCTAAAGACATTGAAACTCACTTCAGAATCGTAGAAGCTGAAAAAAAAACTTTCAAACCCAAAAGTTAAACTCTCTCAGACATTATATCGAACACTTGGTGGATTAACTGAAATCAAAAACTCTCATGCTGAAAAAACTCAAAAACTAGATTACAAATGATATAAATAATGTTTACTATGACCATAAACAGACTCGCAATACTTATTTGTCTCAAAATCGAAAGTTTTTAAAACGCTTACCGATTTTTAAATTCGTAGCTTACCTCATTTTGAAGACGAGACTTCAATCGACCAAATTATTATGGATCGATTCTTTTGCAGCAGTCTTCTTTGAAGCTTTTCGAACCCAAAATTTTTCTAATCCCAATCCAATCGAAAATCCCCTTTTTATCTGAGAAGAAGAGAAAACAAGAACCTTAATTTCAAATGAAATGGATTTGGGAATTTTTAATTTTTTCCCCAATTTAAAATGACGTTGTTTTGTGTAAGTTTATTTGTTGTAAGAGTTCTTAAAACGATGTTATTTTCCTTTTTATTGCCACATTATTGTTGATTTGTTGTCCATCTTAATAGCCCGTTAATGTTGACTAAAGATTCCTGATCAAAGTAGGTTTTAGTGCAAGTAAGTTTTAGTGCAAATAGACAATTTAAATTTTTTATGAATTCAAATAGATTTTACCAGCTAGTTTTTGACTTTTTGACTTTTTTTCCGTCTAAGCCACATATCATTTCTTTCAAGTAGACTGAATCCAACGTATATGCATTTATGGCTATCTCGTAGCCAACCACGTGTCCCACTACGTGAGCATATAAAACATCTTCCGTACATACTTACCCACCGACTACGCTTGAGTTCGATGTATGACCAAGTAAGCTCGACATATCCTAATCTGATGGACAAAAAAAAGAATTTGGAAAATCATTATCTCCTCGAACTAAAAATAACAATTTATTTATTATAAAAATCGTTACAACTTCATTTGGTCCGAAACATACGATAATTTATATCTCATGTAACTCGCAAATTATTTTTCGCAATACCACACGCAAATACATTTTAATTAAAACACATAAGCCATAAAACGACGCTGAATCAGTTATTTGGACAAGCTACAATTTTGGGGGTTTTTTACCGACGTAAAAAATTTCCCATTATTACAGATATTTGTTTTTTATGGAGCTTTCGTGGCGGCAGGTGCGTCGCTTGATGGAGTAGGAGCATCGGTGGCTCCACCACCAAGACCAGCTTTAACTTCTTGGTGGCCTTTAGCTCCATAAGCTTTCATCTTGTAATCTTCCAAGGTACCAGATTCGTCCACGTAAGGACTGTTTGTAGGCAAATCGACGTCGTTTTTAGCTACTTGCTCCGGTTTCTTCTCCGTCGTCGTTGTTGTCGTCGGTGGGTTTTTCTCAGCCTCCATTTTCTCTTTTGTTTTCTTTTTCTTTTTAGTGCTAATAGAATGTTGTTGGTTTCTTACTTCTCAGACGAGGAGATGTCTTTGCTTTTATGGAAGAAGTTGGAGTACACTGTGGCTCGTGTGATTCCGACACGCGGTAGCTACGCGGTTCCTCGAGATCTACGTGGCTTTGTAAAGTAATGTTCTTGTTGATGTCGGTGACTTTATTGATTATGGGCTTTTCAGTGGGCTTTTTGGGTTATGGCAAAATATTCAACTGAAATTGGCAAAGTGGAGAAAACAAATTTCACTAATGCTGCCTTTTTTTGGCGGTAAAAATACTTTTTTTATTTTATTGTTCATCTGCAAAATTGCATATAAAAAAATAAGTGGAATGAAGAAAATTCTTCAGTTAAATTCCCATATTCCAGAAATCATTTTCTCAATTAATGTTAATTCCATTTATTCCTTGCATGTTCACCATTCATATATTTTGATTCCAATTTATTCTTTGCATGAATTGGTCACCATTTGGTCTGGTCTAAACATTTAATAGTCATCTTTTGAATTTGAAAAATTTATCATTCAACTTTACGTTCGGAATACACTTCTACTTTTTTTTCTAATAAAAAAAGAGACAAACCTAAGATCAATTCTTGATCAATCTACATTTTCACTAGAGAGATTATATCACGGTACTCCCTGACGGTTAATAGCACCGGTGGAGGAAAGATCCGTCGATGCAGCTCCTCCCCCGCGGCCAACTCCGCCTGAAGGATTGGGAGCATCGGTGGCTCCACCTCCGAGACCAGGCTTAGACTCTTGGTGGTTTTTGGCTCCGTGAGCTTTCATTTTGAAATCATCCAAGTTATCATAGTCCAAGTAAGGGCTCTTGATGTTTGGAATCTCGTCGTTTTTCACTTCTCTCGCTTCTTGCTCCGTCGGCTTCGGTGGCTTTTTCTCATTTTCCATATTTTGTTGTGTTTTGGTTTTTTTTTTTTTTTTACTATTGACTTTGTTAGGTTCTTAGCCATAGGGATGTCTTTACTTATACTGAACACGTATGCCTCGTATTGTTCGGGCATCAGTACATTTGTCGTACGTCGTGGTGACTACTCACTACACACTTCCTCATGATCTACGTGGCCCTTGTAAGTAACAACACGTGGAAATGCTGTTTCGAAAAGGCATTTATTTTCCAAACTTCCACAAAATCAGTTTCTCAATTGATAAATAATACGAATTTGAATTTGGGCGATAGCACATCAACGACAACGAGACTACATATTTAGATTATTATACAGATGCCACAAAGCACTCTTATTTGTATTAGTGGTGACTAAGTCCTAAAATATTCAAGAGCACTCTCTAATCATTATCAATTCATCTAGCTATTCCTATCTTTATCCAACTTTTTTTAAATAAATCTAGATACTTTTTCTTTTCCATAGCTCTCTACTTCTTTTTCTCCATAATTCTACAATTCTCTATACTCTCGAACCTCTCTTTTAGACTTTACTCTTGACAACAATCTTTAAGCGTTTTTATTGACAGCACCTTCGAATATTGATGTTTTTTAAATGGAACGCTATTCACAGAGCTAATCATGAATGTTATATTATCTGAATATCATTATCATATTTTCGCACGTATTGATGAATTAATGAATTATATATTCAAGAAGTTCTTCAGCTACAAACATATCCTTGCAATCTTTGGTGGCAGCTAAGTACTCTATTTCAGTGCTTAGAATTCCTTGCAATTTGCATATAAATGTCTTTTTTTTTTCAAACTCAAACTTAGAAATCTTATGCATGCATGAATGATGCATCTATATTCATGATTCATGATCATGTAATTACAATAGGTTCCACTCAGTTCAAGATATTTTCACAATTGTTCTTACAAAGATTGTATTTTCGACTCTTGTAGAAATATGAATGATCACAGTAATTACTGTTTTAAAATACATAACATTAAAGTTTAATTACTAAACTTAAAAATCATTTATGATAAAACAACAGAAATGCGACGTTAAAGTACTTCAGTTTTAAAAATCACACTAAAATATTAACGGATCTAAGACTGAAACTGACTTTGGTTTTTGTAAACAGTAAAAAATAATATTAATTCACAAAAAAGAAAACAGTTATTGATTTTGTCTGAATAAAAGACATGAAAATTTTTAAAGACATACATGGTCCATATAAAGAATCTGCAGTAACAAGTGCTGAAAATTCAAGAAGATGAATCATGACGTGACGATGATACATCTCAACATTCTTCTCTGTTTCTGAATTTCAAATTCCCGCCAGTCAAGAGAGAAACAGAGTCGATTCCTAAGTTTCCTCACGAAGGAAATTAAAACTAGTTCTTCGAGAGAGAGATTATGAGATCCTATGGCAAAGAGAAGAAGTTAAGGCCTCCGTACGTTTTCATGGCGTGTTGCTTCTTCTTCGTCATCACCGGTGTCTCCTTCTTCAATCTTTTCTCTCAGGTTTGTTTTCTTTTTTTCTCTCTTGTTTCATCGAGTTCTGTGAATGATTGTTCAAAGCTCTGTTTTTCTCTGTTATATCTACAGGGAATATTCAGTGAGATTCCAATACGAAGAACTGTAAACAAGAAAACTGAATCTTTGGATCATGAAGAAACTGGAGATAGTTCTGATTCTAACATTCCTTTTCAGGTCACTATCTACAAAATCTTACAATATTGAGATCAGAAATTTAGATTCAGTTTCACAAGTTATAGATGATGTTTGATGTGGCTTGATCAGGTTTTAAGTTGGCAACCTAGAACTTTTTACTTCCCAAATTTCGCAACTAAACAACAATGTGAAGCCATAATCAATATGGCAAAACATAACCTTAAGCCTTCTCAGCTTGCTGCAAGAATAGGCGAAACCGCAGAGACCATTCAAAACCATAGAACAAGGTATTAATCTTGCCTTGTGTGATCAATCTTTACATAAGACTAATTAATATCTTAATAATGGAAATTCAGAGGATAGAGAACAATTAGATTGATGAAGCATTTTGAATGCAGCACCGGAGTGTACATCCGTGCTGATGATGACAAATCAGGGATTTTAGCTGCCATCGAAGAGAAAATAGCCATAGCTACGAGGGTCCCTAGAGATTATTACGAAGTAAGCTATACATACATTCATATATAAACAAACAACAATGCATATTTGGTTTTTGTTCCTACAATTCAACGCATATTTGACATAAAAATGTCTTAAAACATGCACCATTTACTACTGGAGATAACTTGGTGAACAAGATACGTAAATTGCTAAATGATTGTTTATGCTAGGAATATATCCGAGATCTAGAGAATTTTTTCTTTGGAATTCAGTTACTTGTCGGCATTTGATGGTCCACAATACTAAATTCGCAAGATACACATCTTGCACTCCAAGTTATCTTTAATGTACCGAAGTAATATGAACGATAAACACATGGTAAAAACATATCTTGCACTCCAAGTTATCTCAAATGTTTACCGGCGTATTATGAACGATAAAGACATGTAACAAGCCTGTCAAAACTGGCTCCTTTCAATAGGAAGTTTATGTGTTTTTTTTTTTCTCTCCAGCCATTCAACATCTTGAGGTATAGGCTTGGTCAGAAGTATGATCCACATCATGACGCATTCAATCCAGCTGATTACGGTCCCCTGAGAAGCCAAAGGGTAAGCAATATATTGTTCGTGTTTTAGATTATAAAGTCAATATTAAAACTCCCAAAAGTTGATAAGTTATTCATGGAATACAGCTCGCATCTTTCCTGTTATACTTATCGACTGTAGAAGAAGGCGGAGAAACAATGTTCCCATTTGAGGTAAATCATTGTGTCTTTCTTTTGGATTATTATGGCTTGAGGTTTCTTGTTGTAAATGGTTTTGGATCTGAGGAAGCAGAGTTGGAGAAACATGGAAGGAAACTATGATTATAAGAAGTGTGTTGGCTTGACAATAAAACCGCGACAAGGAGACGCCATTTTCTTCTACAATTTGCTTCCAAACGGAACAATCGATCCAGTCAGTGTTTTCAAGACAATCAAGACCCATTACAACATTTTTTTATGTTGTTTGATCTTTTCTCAAATACGATTTGATTTTGTTGTTGCAGATATCTCTTCATGGTAGTTGTCCTGTTATCAAGGGAGAGAAATGGGTTGCCACAAAGTGGATAAGAGACCAATCATTTGAAGATTATGAAGATAAGATTGTAAAATTGCAGTCACATTTACTTGTTAAACAATAAATTTTTAAGGCCTAAAAGGTCCAAAGAAGCTGAGGTCCAAAGACCTCTGATGTTCCTTATAACTGCAACTTTGAGCTTCCAGGTTTGTGTATGCTCGCTTTCATGCTGCCACAAAATTGAAGCGAGACCACTAACACAAAGATCATACACCAAAAGCAAGGAAACAACATGCGTTTTGTTAGGAAAAATGTAGTTGTTTTTAAAAATTTCTTACTCTTGCGTACTATTGTATATGCATAAGTCCAATAAAAAATATTACAAAAATATTTTTCCGCTGCCAACCCGGAACTTTCCATTTTTATACATATTTACTTGTAAACCAATAAATGTAAGGCCTTACACGGTCTGAAGAAGATGATCTTAAATAAGAAATGAACAAAAAAGAAACAATCAATTTCAAAATAATATCTCAGACTAACAAAACAAAACCTTTATGCTGATTTTGGCGCAACTTTGAGCTTCCAGGTTTTGTGTGTTTGCTCAACTTCATGCTGCCACAAAATTGAAGCAAGACCATCAACCACAAGATTACATACCTACCTGAATTTCTTTCTTTAGAAAGCATGTAGATATGTCTGTGATTTGCTTGTCCTGCCTCCACTCAATTGCACAAGTCTCATACTAGAGAGAGTAGAGACCTAGAGTTACTCAGATTCATCATAATTTGTGCCAATCTTGGTGTGGTGACTTTCCCCATCGTCTCAATAAATATATACAACCAGATGCAGTGAATAAAGAAATGGCACCAAAAGCCATCATTGTTGAGTTCTCGATCGTGTTCGAGTACCCTCTCTGCAATTTTAAGATCAGTTACGTGATTGAAACAGTAGCAAAACAGTTTAACAAGACTTAATACCTGTATTAAGCAAAACAAAATAGCAGCATTAGCTGGGACTTGAGAAATGCTTATCATCCCTCCACGTAATTCATTTGGTACATACCTATAAATAAAGATAACAAATTCATCACAACAGAGAAGAAAGATTCTTCATTCTTGTCTCGGCTAAATAATCAGAAAAAAAAATGAACGAGTAAATGTATATAAGAGCATTACATGGTCCTTAATCTTGCAAGCAAAGGCAGTGCTAGTCCAGCAAAGCCATGGAATAAGCAGAAAAGTATTACTAAGGTTCTGATTTCCTGCAAGATAAAATGTGTGAGGCCTTCAATATGATGGCAACGAAACTGTTTTTTTTCACGAGTAATCTTTTCCGAAACTAGTAAATAAGTTACCTGGTAATCATAGGCTACTATAGAGAACACAAACCCAAGTATTGCGTATATGTAGACTAAGCAATCTTCAAGCCGGAGCAATGATTGTCCGCTCATAAGCCATGGGAATACACTACTCCCAAGCATTCTCGAACCCAAGAAGCATGGATATATCAATCCCAGGTTCACTTCTCGCCCATCAGCCTGACCCAACATAACTCATTTTAAACAAGTAGATCAAAAGAAAATAATCATTGCATGTCTCGAAGTAAGCACCGATGATTATCCTATCTAAAGTCCTAAACATCAGATGAAAGCAAGCATCATTGCTAGTTTGATTTCTGAAACATAAAAGTTGGTTCAAGTAACAGCAATATATGCTAGGAAGGTTTTGATCATACCACTATCGTTGGCGCCCAAAGAATCCAAAAGACTGCAGTGGAAAACTGGAGGCAGGCTTGTGCAGTTCCTAGAAACCATATTTTTTTATCTGATAAGATTAAAAAGAAAAGATTAGCTTATCCTCTTTCATGAACTTTAAATTGAATTAAAGTGCAATTTTCTTTTTGTTACAAATCTAAATCAAATCCAGAAGCTTCAATGCAGAAGAAAAGTTTGAAGACAATATCCTTACCACCAAGAACATATGCATAGAAAGCTGCGGAATAATCCCTAAACGGTAAAGTCTTCAAAGGCTCTTTCGCAGTCCGGACAATACAAATAATGGCAACAACAGACAATAACAGAGACGCCGTAGCAGACAACGCAACGCCATGCTGAACATTTTCATCCACAAGCCAATTTGCAAGAACTTGACCAACAATTAAAGATGCAGACTCAAGAAAAGTCATCAACCAGAATGTCTCATTCAACGAATCATTACGCTGACTTTGCTACAAAGATACAAGACACATAACATTACTACAGAATCAGAATCTTCTTTTCTAATAATAAACTCAAAACGCGGTAACGAATCCTTACCTTTTCATGTTCCACAACCAGCCAAGTCTCAAACCCAAATGAATATACGAGACCAGCAAGAGACAAGCAAACATTTGCAAACCAAGCACTAGGGCTCATTGTAATCCTCTTCCACACACCAGCAACGAAGTGCAAGACGCAATAGAGTAGACAAATCCTCTTCTGACCTCTACAAAACGTTGTAAGCAACAAGATCATCACTTGAAAAAAAAAAAAAAAAAACTTCATAAACAATGAGATTCAGGGTTTGCTTTTGATCAACATTCTCACTTTAAATCAGATTGAGAAAAATCACACTTACATGAGATCAGAAACCACACCAAGTAAAGGGCCGAGGATAAGAGTGGTCGAGTAGCCAACACAGAGATAAAACACCATCGATTCTTTACTTACGTCATAAGAGGTTAACTCCAATTCTCCATACACAGACCATAAACCTTCCATCACTGTGAAAATGGAATTAATTATAGCAAAGATCCAATTTGGTTTCGAAACCAGAGATTGAAATCACCCGCACATGCTTCAGATTCACGAAAATTGAAGAAATCTATAAGATGTTACCTGAAGAGAGAGTGTAGATAGCTAGAAACCATCTCTGGAACCGAGCGAAAGAAGAGGAAACGGTGTGATCAAACGTACCAAAAGTTCTGTTCTTAGCGAAGTAGGGAAACAGAAGTATCGACAGAAATGCGGAAATGAAGAAGAAGACGAAGACGCTTGAGCTTGGTTGCCAAACAAAGCTCTCGATAACCACACCCATCGATCCTAAGGCAACCGGTGAAGCCGCCGGAAAAAAAAAAAAAAAATCAAACGTCGGAGACGAGATGGGATTTTAGATCTTGACTGATGTAAACAACGAAAAACGGAAACCTCTTGATCGTCTAGAGGGTTACTGATTACATCGGGCTAATAGTTTCTAAATCTAATTGGGTCAATATCTTAAAAAGGCTTAAGGCCCATTAAGGTGAATCGAATTATCTAGAATCAAAAACGCGTTGGTTGATTGGTGAATGGTACACTAAGTGAGTGGCGAATTTATGTGAGTGGGCTAGTGGGATTGCTTCTCATATAAATATTCTTTTCTCATTGCAAGATTGCGTTTTTCGACTAAATTCAACATTTTCGGCAAAAAAATAATAATTCCATTTCGTATATTTTATATCACCTCTTCTGAAAAAATTAGGGTTTGAGTAGTCTCGTCTTCCTTCCCTTGCGTAATCGAATCAGACAGAGAGAGATGGGTGGAGGAAACGCACAGAAATCGAAGATGGCTCGTGAGAAAAACTTGGAGAAGGCAAGGCAAGCTGGAAAAGGTAAACAAAAACACGAGCCGATTCTCAATTTTCTTGATTCGATTTAGGGTTTGGGAAAACGGATCAAACTTCTATACAGAGAAATGGAGCTCAAATCCTAAAATCTCCTCTTTTTTTTGATGATTGTATCTTTTGATTTGTTACAGGAAGCCAATTGGAGGCGAACAAGAAAGCTATGTCGATTCAGGTGATCATTTGCTACTGTTTAAACTGTTTATGATCAAATGGGTGAGATGATTTCACTCAACTAAAATTTTATATGATTCTTGGTCAGTAGAATCGGTTTTCTGGAGAATCAAGAGTTTGATCATGTTAAGGAATAAGAATCTCTAATCTCTCCATTCCTCCATGATTTTGAAGATAATGGTCATTAAGATTGTAATTTATTTATGGTCTCAAGGTACCAAATCGAAGTAATAGAGTTGTGATCAGAATTAGGGTTGTTTATTCGGTTCTAAATAGAACTTATGGAGTCATGAAAATGTAAGACTAATCTCATGTTGATCTACAATTGCTGATGGTATTGATATTGAGTCGAGTGTTCTTCATTTCAATAACTTACCCATTTTGCTTTCTTGATGTAAGACTTATCTTGTGTCTCTACGTTTCATGATTTATTTTTGAGTTGAGTTATAAGTGTTCTTCTATTCAATAACTTGCTACTTGTTGGTGTGTATACAGTGCAAGGTTTGTATGCAGACATTCATCTGCACAACATCGGAAGTGAAATGCAGGGAGCACGCAGAGGCCAAGCATCCGAAAGCCGATGTTGTTGCTTGCTTCCCTCACCTCAAGAAGTGAAGAAACTATCTATCTCACAAAAAAGGATACCAATGTAAATGTATGGATCCTTCTCCTATGTTTGTATCATCAAGTTAAAGTGTCTTGGATCAAACATACTTTATGTTTCTATCTCTCTTTACTAAAGCCTTGTTTCAATACTAAGTCTCTTGCTATAATTATTATTATATCGTGAAGCCTTTGTTTGGAACTTTTTCTCTTTGTTGCTTTTTGCTTTCATTTATGTCTCTATTATGATAAATAACAACAATTTTGATACAACTTCTGGTGTTTCTCGAGTTAATATTACAAATCACAATATTTTGGTTCAAAAATAATAGAAAGCATCAAGCTTTTGGTTTTACAGAGTTCGTAGTCTGCTGCTCTCCGCAGCTTTAACTTGGGCGAAGTAAGGATGAGCCTAAAAAACAAATAACCACAAATCATCAAAATAAGTTTGATGAAAAACAGGGTAAAAAACAAAATTTGAGGATTATTACCATGGCTTCTCTTGCGGTTAATCTGTCTTGATGATCATACCGAAGAAGCTTATCGAGAAAATCAATGGCCTGGAGATGTTCATACAATGGAGTCAATACTACAAGAAGTTAAGAACGAAAGTTTATAAATTTCAAGAAAGAGTATAAAACCTCAGGTGAGACCACGTGTTGGTTATCTGCATTGATAAACTTGGACCATGGTTTCCTGCTATGCCTGCAAATGAGAGTGGCTTCAAGTTTTATCTCATTTGTCTGATATTAACCGAGCCTAAGAGTATAAACAACACAAGAGAACCAGGGATGAAATAAGACCTTCCAACAAGTGCCTCCAGTTGAGGATCTAGATCTAGCTGATATTTGTTAAGGTAAGTATTTAAATCATCGGTTCCCAACACCTATGCGATAAAAGAAGGCACGGATTTTCAATCAGAAATTAAACAAACGGATCCAGCTTTACAATGTAATCTTATGCAAACAAGTTTTAGCAGCCTAGAGGCTAGCGAAATACCTTGGCGATTTTGACAAGTTGATCATGATTGTCATGACCATAGAAGAACGGTTCCTTACGAAATATCTGTAGGCATTGAGAAGTGAATAAGCCACAATAGAAGTTAATTATTTACCTTTGTTTAAAGTATGGGGAAAACAATTAAAAACTCAGAAATTCAAATGCTTGCAACTTCAACATCAAAACTAGTGAGAGGAGAGAGGAAATTCTCAGTACTCACCATGCCAGCAAACATGCAGCCAAGGCTCCACATGTCTAAAGAATAGTCGTAATCCTGTAGATCAACTAGCAGCTCAGGACCCTTGAAATATCTGACAAACAATTTACACATTTGTTAGTCTTCATTATAAATAAGAACTACGGAACGCACAAGAAGCTTTGATTGCAATGCAGGTGGAACGCACAAGTAGACTAACAAGCTTTTAAAGGGTTAAGTTAGCTTTATAGAAGCTTTGATCTATAAAGGCCCTTATTGGACATGGCAATGCAGGTGGATTTGAGCTGTGATTTACCTCGAGGCAACTCGAACGTTATACTCTTTTCCGGGATGGTAAAACTCTGCAAGGCCCCAATCTATCAGGCGAAGTTTACGCAGCTGATGATCTATCATGACATTGTGAGGCTTGACATCTCTATGCATTATTCCTTGGGAATGACAGTAATCCAATGCCTGAAATGCAACAACGCAGTAACATCAGCTACAGATTCCGATAACGTGCATCGATAAAACCAATGTAAATCAATCACCAATATGAATAGACAAGCATAAACATTTCTATGTCTGGTAGAAATCATATTTACCTTCAGAAGCTCGTAAATATAGTATCGGATGTCGTAATCAGTCAGTGTGGGATACAATACTTTAAAGTCCACACTGTTGACAAACTCAAATATCAAGCTAGGAGTTTTGGAGTGCTCATCTCTCACGATATCAAACAGCTTAATAATATTTGGTCCACCACATAGGTTCTGCAAAATCTTGATCTCTCTCTTTATCTGCACAACATCAAATTCATAACTAATCAAGTTTCAGAAAAACCAAATAACACAAATCAGCAAGTGTATATGTATAATGTATCAGACTGATTCACCTTCTTCTTTTTCACGGGTTTGAGGATCTTGATCACACATCGCTCGTTCGTATTGACGTTTTTGCCTTCAAAGACTTCGCTGTATTTTCCACGACCTACTTTCCTCACAACCTCGTAATCATCTTGGTGACTGAACAAGATTACCACAAAAGAGTGAAGTATTAGTAATTTTCACTCAAATGGATTAACACAGTGTGATCAAAGACAAAATTCTCGAAGCTAAAACCCTAGAATTCCACTTTCTCGAATTCAAATTCGATTTGGGAATGAACCAAACTACACCGGAAGACGCCATAAAAGCAATACAGATAAGTAAATAAAAATAATGAATTGGGGCAAGAAAAGAACAGAGATGGAAGAAACGCGAAGTTTACCCCCATTGAACAACGAGGGACTCGTAATCCCAGTACTCTTTGGGACGAACAACGTTGATATCGGTATAAACCCTAGATTTGGACATGATTTGGGAGAAATCAGATTTGTGAGCTTTTAGCAATCAATCGTCAGGTGGTGGAAAATGGATGACGATGACAGAGGAAAGTGCGCCTTGTGCAGGTTAAAAGGGTTTTTGCCCAGTTGGAAGAAGAATCTTAGTGGAGAAAAGAAAACCAAAACCCATCAAACCACATCGAACCGATCTGGAACCGTATCTAATTACGCATCCTGGTTATGCGTTTTCCAGGCTACAGTTGAGAAAATAACCCGAAACCAAACCAATTGGGTTTTCATGGTTCAGTCAAACCAATCAAATATTTATCAGTCTCAAACGACACCGTGCGTGCTAAAGAAACACTTGGCAAATGCGTGTATAAGTCCGACGCCGTTTCGTGACTGAACTCTCTCATTCTCTACGCGACGGCGGTTGCGACTGTCACTACCACTACTTTTCAGCGATTATTGATAACAAGTTTTGATCTAATTTTTAGAAAAAATTATGTAGTAGAGTTAGAATTAAGTTAAAAGTTAAGTACCATGAAAACCATATACTTTTTAGTTGTAGTCCAAAATTAGAATTTTGTCTAAGTTAAAAGCAAAGTATCATGAAAACCATATTCTTATTGACTTGCTATAAAAAAAACAAGTTTGTGTAACTAAGCAAAACATTGCCTATACTCGTATTTTGGCTTCAACAAAATTATTCCAAAGTAATACTTATTGACTTGTAAAAAGTAATGAAAGGAATTTATATAGGCTTGCTCGGGCAAAGTCTTATATACTGAGCTTCTTAATGGCTATGTTTAATGCTAAATCCAACAGCAACAAGTTCTTCCATTGTTACTTTCATCTTTGGTTTGATTGATTGTGGATGTTTTAAATAAACAAAAGACTCACCTCTTTGACACTCAGATTTTGTTATGTTAAGTCTATCCATTTCAAGACGGAAAACTCAATCCATCTTGCATCCATTCCAAACTCTCTCTTCTATTTTTGGTTCGTTTATATAATTATCCATTTAAAATCGTTTATCCATCTCATACATCTTTTGTCCCAACTCTTTTATTTTCCTTATTTTTATTTTTATTTTTGCCTAAGTTAAACAAGTACATAGGTCTAACTTTTTGTAACGTCTGAATTTTCATTATATTCTAATGAATTTTAACGTTCGTAAAAAACAAAAAAGTTTCAAAATATCTAAAATTTCTCAAAATTATTAAAATGATTTTTTTTGGTAAAAGGTTAATTACTAAAATGATTTGACATATAAGTTTCAAATTTGACCTCAATACTAACTTTCTGATCCTATTACTAATTTCATTTTTGGCTAATATTTTTTTTTGTCAATACTGTTTTTTTGTCGATTATTGTCAATAATGTTTTTTAATATCCGAATTATCCACTCTGGTCTTTTCCTTATTAATTTTTCGAAAAAAAAACAGGCCTATATTCGTCATTACAAGTGGATTATGCGGTCATTAAATAAATATTAACGTCGGCGGATATATCCAAGAATAGAAAGAAGTATGCAAAGAGGTCGAAAACGTTACCGTTTCGGGCCAACCAAAAAAAAAAAAGGAAAAAAAAAGCCGATTCGTTACCTTCTCTGTCATTTCTCTTTTAGAGACTTAAATGTTAAATGGCCTTAAGGCCTTGTGGTGGATTCACAATCTCCTCTCTTCGCAACGCTTCCGCCGCCAACGACAACCTGTTCTCTTTCCTCTCCTTCTCTTCTTCTTCTTCGTCGTCTCCGGCGACGAGGAGCCTCCTTTTCTCTTCCCTCTCCTCCCTCCGTGACCTCCGTCGATTCGCCTCCAGCGCCTCTCTTTACCGTCAACATCTGCGCCAGCAACAGCAACAACAACAACAACAGCAACATCAATCTCGCGTGAAAGGTTTGGATAAATCGGAAACGCTGGCGCAGAAGATCGGAAAATCTATCCGGCGTGCCGGTGCGCCGTCTAAGGCTAGGGTTTACGCCGATGTCAACGTTGTTAGGCCCAAAGATTATTGGGATTATGAATCCCTTGCTGTTCAATGGGGGTAATCTTTTAAACTAATTTACTTAGCTTTCTAGATCTTTGCCTTTGGTATGAGATTGGTTTTGATGATTTAGAGGGATTGATAGATTCTGAAATCAACGTGGAATGTAGATTTAGGGATTCTTAATGTCGTGAAAATTAACGCAGAATTGATATATTTCTTGTACATAATCTCTTGCAAATTGCTGGAATTGATACTGGTTCTTGACGTTGTGTGGTGTGGTTACTGTTCAATAGATATGTGTTTATCTTGAGTTAGTTTGTGTGGAGTTAATCACTGTATTTCTTGTCAGTGTTTAAGGTAGTTTCATTGATGGTGCAGTGTACAGGATGATTATGAGGTGGTGAGGAAAGTAGGAAGGGGAAAATACAGTGAGGTCTTTGAAGGCATCCATGCCACTGATAACGAGAAATGCGTTATCAAGATTTTGAAGCCTGTGAAGAAGAAGAAGGTTTGTGGATTTTCAGACGCTTCTCGTTTTGGGAATTTTATGCTCAGTATTAAGCGTGTTTTGAATTCTTTATTTTGCTCCTCCTTGATGTGCAGATCAAGAGAGAGATTAAGATTCTGCAGAACCTCTGCGGTGGGCCAAATATTGTAAAATTGCTCGACATTGTTAGAGATCAGCAGTCGAAGACGCCGAGCTTGATATTTGAACATGTGAACAATAAGGATTTTAAAGTCCTGTATCCAACTCTCTCAGACTATGATGTTCGATACTATATCTATGAACTTCTAAAGGTAAGTAATCAAGTTTCTTGGGATCCTTTACCGGGATTTCTTGTATGTAATAATACTTTGATGCTCTGTCAAATGTATTTGGTACATTAATGTGTAGTATCCGAAATTATTTGACTTGTGAATCAGTTTTAAATGTTTGTTGTTTCACTCTGTTTTCCTAATTCTGTTTGTTGTGTTCATGCAGGCGTTGGATTTCTGCCATTCGCGTGGAATCATGCACAGAGATGTGAAACCGCATAATGTTATGATTGATCACGAGCAACGGAAACTACGTTTAATTGACTGGGGTTTGGCAGAGTTCTACCATCCTGGGAAAGAATACAATGTTCGTGTTGCTTCAAGGTAGTCCCTTTGGTTGTTTCTCTTTGTTTTAAATTTTCAACAATGCTTCCTCTGCATGAGAAATGTATGCGCTCAGCACTTGGGGATTTTTAGAAAGAGAAACATAGCCTTATACTTCATCTAGCTGATATAAAGCATTTGCTTAATCTTTAACGTGATTTCACTCGCTTCATATGATGAGCAGATACTTCAAAGGTCCAGAGCTGCTGGTGGATTTACAGGACTATGACTATTCCTTAGACTTGTGGAGTCTTGGGTGTATGTTTGCTGGAATGGTGAGCGTTTTAAACTTTTTAGTTTTATTCTGGTGTGTGTTTTTGTTTAGCTGATAAGAGTTTTGGTGCGTGTTGTTTATTTTATCCTGAACCTTTTCAGATCTCAGAACCTTGAGATTACTCTCCTAGAGATACATACAGTGATTTATATCTATTTTCGCATCTGATGCCGAATTTCTCTACAGATATTCCGCAAGGAACCCTTCTTTTATGGACATGACAACTATGACCAATTGGTCAAAATTGCAAAGGTAAGATTTCGAAAAGCTTTAACCTTTGAATCATCTTGTTACGTTCCTCCAAGTTAACTATGTGTATATAATACAACTATGACAGGTGCTTGGCACAGACGAACTCAATACCTATTTAAACAGATACCGCATAGAATTGGACCCTAATCTTGCATCCCTCGTGGGGAGGTATCCCAATTTTAAAAGTTCTTGAAATCTTTCAGAATCACAGTTTTCGCATTCCATTTCTGAATTTTGAATTATTGATTCTTTGATTTTCTTTTATAGACATAGCCGGAAGCCATGGTCGAAGTTCATCAACTCTGAAAACCAGCACTTAGCAGTTCCTGAGGTACACAAAATTTGCTTTTACTCTATATATTTAAGAAGCTGTAAAACGAAAAACCGGATATTTTGGATGACTCAGGTTTTTTTTTTTTCATCTTAAAAAGGCTATTGATTTTGTGGATAAATTGCTGAAATATGATCACCAAGAAAGGCCAACTGCTAAAGAAGCAATGGTAAGAAACAATTATATTCATTCTCCTTTTAAGGTCAAGAGTTTCTTAGATTGTACATAATCGAATTGATTATATGTTGATTTTTCAGGCGCATCCGTATTTCTACCCGATTAGGAATGCAGAAAGTAGCCGCACCCCACGTGGCCAATGATCCTGAAACATTTGCTTGTTCAATCTCCGATTTTCATTTCTTTACGGATTCAATTTGTTTAAAAATCGATTTGCCCTGATTTTCTGTCTCTCAATTGTGTGTGTTGCTGTTTTGCTCCTCCTGAGTTCTCAGTGTTTCAACTCTTTTTTAATTCATTTATAAAATCCACAAGACGGGTTAAAGAAGTTTCTCTTCAGTTTTAATTTTACTGGAAAATTTTATGTCTTCGCTTTTGGAGTGGAAGTTGACGAAATCTGTGGCCGGAAATTAGTTAACGACGACAGACAATCAACTCTTTCTCGGCTTCGTTTTTGGTGAATCACCGACGATGACATTTGTTTTCGTTTCTGAAATCTACGGTGAAACCAAAGATCACTTATTCCTTGGGTGTCTGTTCAGCCACGACATCTCGAGTTGATGTATTTCAAAGCTCCTTTGTCCCTTCGTAGGTTTCATGACATGGTCACTTTTCCTAACGTGGCTAAATGATTCAAGTCAAGAAACTTTAATGCTCGGCTTGTTATTAGGTTTAGTCAATGGGAAATTCGCAACACTGAGCAATAATATATCATTTAAACTCAATATCTGACTTTTTCTCTCTCCTCCTTTTCTCTCTCGAGCGAAATCAGATCTGAAACTTTCTCTTGCAGACACCTTAAAGGATCCTTCCGATCTCCCTCTCCGGCGCGCATGGTGGCTCACCGTCGCCGGAGGAGGGACTCTGATGGCATCCTCTTTCGTTTGTTAGGTGTTTTGTCTCAGTTCAGCCGTCGGCTCGGTGTGGCGTCAAAGTGAAGTTTCTCCGGTGTGTAGTCTTCGTTCGACGGCGACGGAGCTTCAGTGGCGTCGCTGGGGTTGCGGTGGTGGAAGGCGATCTCCTTGTGCTGATGCGCCTCTCTGTCGTTCGCGTCGTTCTATCTCGGTGGGGTTTGCTTTTTTTGGTGTTCACCGGCGTTTCCCTCCGACGGTCTCTTTCGGCTTTTCTTTGCGAGTCCTCGTCGCCGGCGGCGAGCTCTCCGATTTTCCTCGGTGGTGTAGTTCGTCTCTCCCCGGTTAAAGTCCATCTCTGCCTCGTTTTGTTCATAGCGGTGTTCCCGAGGCATAGGTGTGGTGGCGATGTAGGCTTTGATCTCCTCGGCTCCAGCGGCAGCGATTCGGACCTAGAGGACAGGTTCAGTCTCTGGTTTTGGTTTCGTAGGAGAGGTTTGGCTTGTGGCTAGCCTCGGAGTGGTGGCTCTCGTTTCTTCCGGCGTGTGTGGCTCCACCAACAGTGTCTCTCGACGGTGGTTTTAGGCGGGTGGCTCAGCGGCTGTTCTCTCACCATGTTCGACGAAGTTTCCGGTGCCGTCTTTTCACCGTTGTGGCTCGGGTTTCGCTGTGGGTGTGTGTTTGTGTTATCAGCAATTCTCAGCAGTTTCGCAGTTTGGTCTTGGTCTTGACTCGTGAGGACTCCGATCGTGGTTCGGTGTAGATAGTGGAGCCTTTCGAGATGTGTATTGTAGAGGCACCGGTCTGTTGTCCGGTTAGATTGTAGCTGTGGAGGTTGGTCCCTATGGAGGCTTCGGTTTCTACGGGAATGGTGGTTGGAAGTGACTTCTCCGATTACCGCTCAGACTTCCTTGTCACCGGTTGCAGTTTAGTCCGTTACGCATTTCGGAGATTGCGTCAGTTTTCGGAGAAGCTGTAGGTATTTTTTCCGGTGGTTAGAGGACGGGCCTCGGAAGGGCGCTCGTGGCAACTATGATGTGAACTCTAGTTCTTTGAGCTGCGGCAAAAACGTGATGGTCTGTGCTTTTGCACGTGATTGCTGCTTTCTCATCTTGTTTGGTTTCGGTTTTAATTTTCTTCTCTTACTTGCTGGATCTTTGGCTTTTTTGTGTTTCTGTTGTTTCTTTGTTGTTTTTGTGTGTCAGTAGATTTTTGTTTTCCGTTTTATTCGTTGTATCTCTGTATTGTCTGTAAAAAAATCAAAAATTTGGTATAAAATTTAACATTTAACCCAAAAAGAAAAAAAAATCCGCAACACTTGCTCCGCAAGAAGCCAAGAAGGCATATTCTAAGGTTCAAAACACTCTACCATTGTGGTTTGGAGACTCAATCATCTCGTAGTTGTTCACAGTTATTGTACTGGCCTTTCTTTTTTTTATAAAGCATTCATCAATCACGGCAATGATCAAAACATGCATATAAGAAATTTATTGTACTGGTCTCTGTTCACCCTAGATTGTCGATGTCGTTTCAGGCATCTTTTTAAAAATTAGTGCTTCGTTCTTGTACCAAACATAATGATGGACTTCTCTGTAAAAAAAAATGGAAATGAGTTTGGTTGTGATTAGAAATTTAGAATGAATTGATTTGTGAGTCATTTGAACAAATATAGTTGGACGAGATAGAAAACAGAGAATAGAGTCTGAAACTTGATATTTTTTTTATTAAGACAGCACAACCTTAAATAGGTATTTTACATTATCCTTTTTAATTGGCGGAAAGAATTTTATTTTATTAGGATTTTAGGAAAAATTTTGGTAACTCAAATCCCTAAGTATCTTGTACTTGTATGTGTTTTAAACTCTCAAACCTAAAGATTCGAGAAACTATTTGGTTTTACCCATCTTGATACATTTCAGAAAGGAAAACAAAAAAGTTCGAGAAATGGATTTATCTCAAACATCCTAAACTGGCTTATTGAATTTTTACAACCACCACATCGTAATTTTTACTCGACATCTTAAACTAATTTAACCGTAGCTTTTCCCTGAATCATATTTTAATTTTTAGTTTTTTTGGCAAGCTATATCATATTTTAAATTATCTTTAAAATTATTCAGAACCGATAGAATTCTTGGAATCTTGTCTCTTCACTATTGGAAAACCAGGTAAGCTGAGAGAAAAAAATATATAATATTTGGGACTATTGGCTAGAAATAACGATTCGTTATTGTAATTTAAATGTAGAGTCGTTTAGTGACGTCTCAGTAATAAGAAGATGCATTGGTGTACATACGCGCATCGAGAATATAAATAGAGTCCAACGCCCCAAATTAAGAACATATATAACGAATCATCACCCGTGTTTCTGATAATTAGTAGATTATGTGTTAAGAATTATATAACTTTTCAGACCCGAGATCTAAGCATGTAATATGGTTTGGTTCCAAGTGTTAATCGATCATGCAATTTTGAGGTTCGTTTTGATATTTTTTAGTTTAACTAATAACATTGAGAAAATTGCTCAATTTATTCTTCATCTATTTGCAATCGACATAAATAATTTTTAACTGTTGTAATTACAAAAAAATCCTCAATTCAACGTTAACCATGTAAAATTAAAATTAATATAGTCAACCGTTAATTAAGAAAACAGAAGACGTTACATTAAATCTCGTTAAATTTTTTATGAGTCTAATTTCATAAAGTTAATTTGCCAAATTAAAAGTTGAAGAATTAATTAATCTGTAAAATTATAAAACCTGAGGAATTAAATGATCTAATATTTAAAAATATACACATAACTGTTAAAAATTTATTTATAACAATGGTGAGAATTATTACGTAATATTAAAAACTATTGAATGTGCAAAAAAATCAAATAAACTATATATAGCTCTGGTCTAATAAAAATGGTAGTTCAAGTTGAGAAAAAAATGTAGCATTTTGCAAAAACAATTTGTGGTAAAAAACAGGTAAATTCTATTTTATGAAAACAGTTTAGTTCCGATCAATTTTCAAAATAATTAATACAAAAGAAAAGAACAAAATTTACATAAAATAAAAAGATAACATAAAAAGATAAGAAGAATTTTAGAAATTAATTTAACAAGCGTATATATTTCTAATTTTTTTGTAGCTCTTAGATGGTACTCATGTGCTACAAACTAGATTTTTATAATTATAAAACAATACTTTACAACATAATTTAGTCTATCAACTACTGATCTAAAATAAAAATATGGCTCACAAGAAATTAAAAAAAAAAAAAATAGGTGGTCTTACATCTATAAAAATATGATGGTAAAATCCAAGTAATTTAGGCTTTCATGCATGAATAATAGAGAATTACTTTATTAATACCGTCAAATACAAAAAAAAAATCTGTAACTGTAAAAACTTTCGGTTAAGTTCTTATATAGTTTTATATAATTATTTTGATTTTTTCTCTTTTCAAATTTAATAATTTTTAATGTTAAAAAATTATTAAAATTGTTATGAACAAACAATTTAATAGTTTCTTTTCACATTCAATAGTTCTTAGTGCTATGTAATAATTCTCACCGTTGTTATGAATAAGTTTTAACAATTATGTGTATATTTTTAAATTTCAGTTTATTTAATTCCTCAAGTTTTATATTTTTACAGATTAATTCTTCAACTTTTAATGTGGCAAATTAATTCCTCAACTTTATATTGACTCTGCGAAATTAGACTCGTAAAAAGCTAACGAAATTTAATGTAACGTCTTCTGTTTTCTCAGTTAATGATTGACTATATTAATCTTAATTTTGCATGGTCAACGTTAAATTCAGAATTTTTTTGCAATAACTATAGTTGAGGATTATTTATGCCAATTGCTACTAGTTGAGGACTAAAATGAGCAATTTCCCAAAAACATTGGGTAATTCGTTACATTGGGTAATAAAATTTTTTCAGTTTTGATATTTTATCATAATTGCAAATGTTAAAGATTTTGATTTGTATGAATCCTATTTTTACTTGGTAATAACGTACTTAAAAAAATAAAATTACTTTTGAGATAACGGTTTGGAGTTTTGAAGTTGGGTTTAAAGCGTTATAGTGGGTTGGTCTTCAGTTTTGCTCGGCGGAATGGCGCTTGCTATATATTTGTAGATGGATATGGCTTGTACGCAAATCATCATGTGTAAGGTTATTGATCTTCTCTGGTATATCTCTAATCGGAGTTCAAGGTTTATCTCCTTGAGTCTAGGTCAGCTCAAGTTCGTTGGCCTTTTGGTGTGGCAGTGATGATTTTATCTTTTGGTCTCTGGTTAATTCTGGCCCTGCTTTCATTTCTGCTGGTGTTGTCTATTTGGAGCTTGTTTTTGTGCTTCCTGCGGTTTCTTTGGCCCTCGGTGGTCACTGTTGGTTTAGTTCTTCTCAAGGCTTTTAATTGTTCTTTGGTGAAACTCCGGCGTCTACAGGTTCTGTATTCGATCTCGGGACTACTCTTATTCAGAGTTTCAGTTTTAGTACTTTGGAGTTTTAGTTTTCAGTTCTGTTGTACCGTTTCCATAGATTTTACCTCTTTTTTAGACTTCCCTTCTTCTGGAACTTTGTTTCCTTTGTTTGGGCTTTCTTCGAAGATCTCTTAGCTTCGTTTCCTGCAGCTTATGTGTTTCAAATATGTATCTCAAACTTGTATTTCATGGTTTGATAAAAAACAAAAAAATTAGAAAGAAAAAAAAAAGGATAACGGTTTATGTAACTCTTGTTGGGATATCAATCCAAATCCCTTATTGAAAGTTTAGACCAAGAGTGTCTAGTATATAAGCAAGATGTTCAACATATTAGTATGAAACATTTTGGGAAGGAATCCAAAAACAAATTTGTGCGGGCTTTGCCACTTAGGCCCAAAGCGGATAATATGATACTAATAGGGAGTTGGACATGGGCTTTTCAGCTCAACAATTGGTATCAGAGCGAGGTTCTGGAAAAGATGAAGCTGGACAACTAGGCGTGGGCTGTGTGTCCAGTGGAGGAAAGAGAGCCCTCAAGATGACCTTGCGATTGGGATGTGCCTTGTATCGAAAATATTCTTAACGGTACGCGAAGGGTTTGGTTGGGCGATACACGATGGGTGCCAAGTTTTGCAGAAGGTTGGGAGACCACGGGTTTGTGTGATACTTGGTTTGAGGGATAGATTGTTGGGATATCAATCCAAGTCTCACATTGGAAGTTAAAACCAAGAGTGTATAGTATATAAGCAAGATGTCCAATAGATTAGTATATATGAGGTCTTTTAGGAAGGAATCCAAAAACAAATCTGTGCGGGCTTTGTCATTTGAGTCAAAACGGATAATATCATACTAATAGGGAGTTGGACATGGATTTTTCAGCTCAACAACTCTTTTTAATGTCCCTTTGTTCACTTGCATCTTCTAGGTTTAAACATTCAGCCAGAAAAAAAAAACATAACTCATTTCAAGTCAAAGTCAAAGTCATCGCAATTTTAAGTCAAAGCCAAATATGTTTCCTAGTTTCCTCAGTGATGAGGTGTTATGGAGAGTGAAAGTACGCGCATGGGGTAGAGATTGGTGGTCGGTAAATCAGAGAAATAACTGTAGACAATAAGAAAGCACGAGAATCTGTAATCTAAACAAAGATGATTAGGCGACATTAAGCACATAATCCGATCTTGAGGACTGTGTCTGTATAACAATCTCTCCCTGTCTTAGATTTTTTATAGTTTAGTTTGATCTCTCTGGTTCCCTTTGTCTAATTAAATGATTATGTAATCATCCTGTTTCGAGTAGCTATTATTTATTATAGACCTATATGGTCTTCTTCCGTATCTAAAATGTTCCATATCTTTGAAAAACTGATCTCTGAATATTTAGGTGGATTATGCACACCCAAAGATATTGTTGGATCTAATATATTTAAACATATGAAAATCAAATATGAAGATATAAAATTGATAAGTGGACTACAAAGCGTGTGGGTATATATCCATTGGTTGTATAATCCCTTCCAATGACCATGTCGTTAAGTATGTGGGTACTACAAAGCGCATTTTGCTTCACTATTCATTAGATAAAGCCATAAAGGGTTCCTCAGGTCAAACATAAATTACTAAATTGTGTTGTTCTGACTTCTGATATTAAAGTTATCACCAATGATATGTTTTTAGTAGTCAAATATATATATTAAATGGCATGCATGCGGCATGCGCTACAAAAAAAAAAAAAACTTTTCATGTTTTTTTCTGATATAAAATATCTTAGCTTGTAGTATTTGTGAGGTTTTTTAAATAAAATATGTATATAGACCTTAAAAGTTACAACCTAAAATCTACACGTACAACCATAATAATCGGACACGCAAGCACATGCATTATTTGTTTTCTTTGTATATATATATATATATATAACTTCATATATATATGAAGTTACAAATCTTGAGTATATAATTTTCTGGACTTCTTAAGGGCATAATTTTCTAGATTTGAAATCATACATTTGATTATACATGTGAAATCTTAAATCATCTCTGTACATAAGTTCACATTCGAACTATATCTTATGGAATTGAATCCACAGAATCAACCGCTCTTTATCATATAAGAACCAACCATACTTGTGTACAATTGTGTGCACATAACAGACGTTTATACTGTTTTTAGTGATCATTTAAGTATATCTTGAGTGAATATTACATGAAGATATTAATTGTCAACAAGTGAAGTCTAAAACCTTAGCTCAATCTAATTGGTAGAAACCATAATAATCATATATATTACCATTTGATTAACGTAGTGACTAGTGAGTCTCTTTCTAGGGACATCATCACACTCATAACCAAGTACGTATGGTACTATAAAATGATATATTTTAACCAATAGGAAAACCAAAATATATAATGAATTAAGTACTAATTGCTTAGACCAATGTTTACTACAACTTTCCAGGTTATTTTAATTATTTATATATACTTTCCGATAAATGATTGGAGTGTATATATAACATTTATTTAACATGAACTTGTGTGGTTATAAGAGCGCATATCGGAACACAATATTTGTTTGTCGACGTCGGATGATTAAGAAACTTTATTACGGTACTACAATCATGCATGTAATGAACGTAGGCAATAAATATTGTTGCTTGACCCTGCTACCATTCTAACCCTACACTATTAGTTGTCCTTGAACATTTCGTTTTATTTTATTAACACGTAAATGTTAATGTTAACCTAATAACCTGCATGTTCCGTAGACTTCATGCATCATAAAACATGGTTAGGACATTTTAAATTAAAGAATGAACTAGATTAATTATCACGAAAGAGAGTTGCTAATTATGTCTGCCATGCATGGATGGTGATGATGATGAATGGCGTTGATTTGACAAGACGAGAGTGATGACATGGCAGAAGCTATGATGACCCATTAATTCTCATTAGCAGTAGACAACGCTCCATGTCTCACTTCCATGTTTCTCTCCTTTTATCATCCTTAGCCAACATAGAAGAAAGATAAAATATTCATATATATATATATATATATACTATATACAATGATTCACGTATATATATATATTTAATGTGTATACAACCAAATGATAAAATTATTCGAATCACTCGAGGCAAATCAGAGTTCATGATCAAATAGAAACTGATTTTCCTATAATGCGCGCGCACACTTATGTGAAATTGAAGGGGAAAAAACATTTGCAAAATTACATTAAAATTGCAATTGTAAAGAATACTCCAGTTATAAAAAGTAGTGTTCTAGAAAGAGGTTGGTTGTCGACAAAAAAAAGAAAGAGTTTGGTTGATAATCTAAATTATTTGGAAAATTTATGGATTCAACATACACTAGCTCAATTAACTGATACATTTTTTTTTCACAGGACCAAATAATAGATAGATATTACTAACAGATGAAAAACTTATTTTTTATTTTCTGGTGATCACATTCATCGTTAGAACCTTCATAAAGAAAATTAAATATATATCCTACTAAATTTAAACACATATCTTCCACTTCTACTCTATCAAAAGACTTTTGTCGCATCTATTTAATGGCTTTTTGTTTTGTCGCTCGTTCCTATCCAGTAGTTCGCTTTGTGTCTCATCTTTATCTCCCCACCACAAGACCACATAACTCTCAGATGGTAATACTACGAGAAAGTATATCCCTTGAGAGTTCAAAAAAAAGAAATAGTATGCTGAAAATAATATCTTTTAGTAGATATTTTAGAAATCGAGTTTCGAGTATAAATCTCTCTGAACGTTTTTTTTTTGACAAAATATCTCTGAAGCCTGAGCGTTACGTGATGCCAACATCGTGGGTTATGCGGAAAACATCAATCAAAGCACTCTTTTTATAATGTACAAAACAAAAGTACAAAATATCGTACATGGACTTTTGAATAAGTACGAATTTCGTATAAAATACATTGCACGTAGAGGTATACAAAGGTTCATGGGTCGAGTCAGAGGCATAGGGCTGTAGGGACAAGGTGCATAATCTTGGGTTTCCAGACGAGCTATGGCCTTACCCTATGCGTCAGAAATTAAACTGCCCTCGCTACAAATATTTATTACGTTTAATGAAATTAACTACCAGTTTTTTATAAAAGTAATAATTTCTGAAACTACTTAAGAGCAAAATTAAGAGTATAACACCAAGTAAATTAAGTTGGATGAGTAACTATTTTTTACCTTTTGACAAATAGAACAGACAAAACTATTTTATACCCCTTCTAATCAATTTTTTTTTGCTTCAAAATCTTTGAATAAACTAATTTACAATTAAATACTACGTCAGAATTTGAATATTTATTTATTTTTCAAAAAAAAAATAGTGATTATATATAAGAATGTGTTATCCTCCATAGAAGACATATAATGAAATGTCATCCGTTCTATGCAAGAGATTTACTTAGATTCACTTATCAATTTACATAAAAAAAATAAATAATTGTTTGTTTTCAAACATTAAAACATGACATATATAAATAATTGCATATGCAGTGGTTTGAAGTTTGAATAATACATACAATTTTTTTAAAAATACGGATAAGTAAATTATAACAAGTACTTGTCATTGTTTCAATACACCGGTGCCTACCAGAGTTAGTCGACGGTAACCTAAACCCATTTCATCGTTGATTAGACAATAGACATAAGTACATAACCTTAAGCAACTCTTCCGTTTCCTATCTCGTTACGTTTTTCCTACACAACAACACGATTTTGTCTCTGTCCCTCGCCGCTTTGTTCCTCTCAAACATCTACAGCTGGACCTCATTTATGCAACTAAGAGACATCGTAGGGGCGTTTAAGTCATTTTCCCTTTCTCTTAGGTCGGTAAGTAGAAGAAACTTTGGCTCGTGGCTTTGACTGGTCTTGGCCTCCTCGTTAAAGGTTAAAGGTCAAAGGCTCAAAGGTTAGGGTTTAGTAGCAAATTACATTGTTAAGTCAAATAATAGGTTAATAATTAAGTTATATCATTGACAAAAAAAGAGGTTGATCTCATCGAGATTTTTCTGTCGTAATCGTAGGAAACAAATAATTTCTGTCATATTTTTTATTACTAAGCATTTATTAATAATTCTTTTTAATTCACATTCATATAGCTTTCCGTTTAGTATATGTAAGGATGTCTGGAAAGCGTATAAATATACTATATTACTCTCGTGGATGTATTTCTTATATAATGTAATCAAAGATGGTGGGATCATATATATGATAACGGCTTCTACTTTTTAGTCAAATTCTTTTATAATCAATTTTTGAAGGTCGCATACTTGAATATCATATCAGGTGGTCTTTGTAGTGAAATATTATTGTTTTGACAAACTGAGGAATAGAAAAACTTTATATGTATTGTTGGAGGCTTAATGTCTTGAATCATGTTGATCCCGCCCTCGCTTATAGTTTTTTTTTTTTCCATATATAATGCATTCAGGTGAAATAAAAGTTGAAGTTCTGCAAATATGAAGCATACGATATTTTAAAAGATAATAGATTAATCCTATTATAAATCTAAATGACACCATATATATATATATATATATATATATATATTTAAATGTGAATGCGAGATTTGTACTGCACCGGCCCAAAGTAGGGATTATATATTAAACCAAAACTATTACAATAAATCAAGATCGTTTCAATGATGTTCTCGAGGAATTTGTCGTGGAATTTGTATGTTTTTAGTTCCTTACAGTTAATCATATGTAAATATTATAAGAATCAGTATGCGTGTTTGAATTTCACAAATTTGACCGGAAATTAGGCACTAATATGTCTGCTTATTACTCGACACTTTGCGTCATACGATGTGGTCCATGGTTTATGTTATGTTTTTAGAAAGCTCCTCATCACATATACAGAATCTTAACTAAATAGGCTAGTATAGGCTAGTATTTTAATTATTTTAAAGTTTAAACAAGCAACATAATTACTAAATTATTTAGTAATTTAGGTAATCATAAATTATAATATATTTATATTACAAACATTTAATTTAGGTTATGTTATCTATTCTCTCCATATTCTTTTCTTAATCTTAGATATTTTAGGGTTCTAATTATTAACTTCTCACTATTTTTGTCTTCTATTTATCTTTATATGATTATTTTATTTGATTAATGATCTTTTCGATATTGGGGACATATTAAGTATCAATTATCATATATCAATTTTTCTTGAAATTTTTAATCGATAGAGAAAAACCAAAATCTATTAAACTATGATAATTTCATTAATTGTTTTGAATGAATACTAAACTTTGATACTTCTGCCCGGCCAAGCATTTACATATGCTCGTTTATATTCAAAATATTTTTTTTTTCTTCCAAAGCGACATAAATTTTTAAAAGAAAATAATAGAAAACTAAAAGATATTTTGACTCTGATTAAAAATTTATTAATAAAGCCTCACTATAAACAAAAGAAAAAACTGAATTCTTAAAATACACAAATGAAATGGTAACAAGGTAAGATAGGAACAAATGTTACATTTTTAACAGAGAAAAAAAACACACAAATATTACATTGCTCTTAGTGCCTTTCTTTGTCTTTTTTTATATAATTAATTTGCGTTTATGGTGAATTCTATGACGTCAGCGCTTTTGTCATTTACATCTTTTACTATAGATGATATTATATTCAAATGCAATGGTTGTAGTATAATACAAATGAAAATCTGTTTTCGTTATCGGATAAACTGTAGAGTATATGCATTAAATGACTATGATTTGGTCATTTATTTGAAAATGATAAAACTATAAATAAGTTGAATCATTTATTGTAAATTCTTAAACTTTAACGTGGACTCGCATATTTTTAATATAAAATACGTTACTTTAGTCGTTTATTTACGATTTTGCAACTACATGTTTTACACCAACAAATCATGCCATACACTCAACTCGGAGGGACGAAATTTTTTTACATGGATCATAATATTTATTATCTAAAAAAATGATATATGTTTCACTGAAAAAAAAAATTCACCATTAATAAATATCTCATAGATGCATTTTATGCTCACTCATATTTTAAAATTATTTTATTCTAGTTTTATTAGTTTTATCACGGATTTATTGTAATAGTTTCAAATACTTGTTTTTTAATAAAACAAACTAGACAATTGCTTAAAAACTCATCACCAATACTGTTGCGCGTATTAGTGTCCACAAATTTCATTTTTCGACGAGATACCTTTCTAAATTATATCAGCTTGTAGAAGGTGTTTAGAATTTATTTGAGTAATTATTATTTTAAGATAAACTCTTATTTATAGTGCTTCCGCTTCTAAATTGAATCATTTACAATGTGAGATAATTATAAACTTTGTTATGGATTTTTATTTTATAATTTTATGTGATGGTTATTGGATCAATATTCTCTAATATTTATTGAATTATCTTAAATTTTAAATTTTAGAAGGATAAATTCTTGTTTTAGATTTGGATAATATATCAATTAAAAAAACTCAACAACAATTTATTTATTTTTTAGGATTTCACCTAGGGCAGCTGATCCTCCTCAGCTGGCTCCGCCACTAAGCATAGTACGCATCTTGCGTATAATAATACATGTCTTTTTTTTTTTTAATATTATATTAATCAACCCAAACCGGGAATTAGAAATGGTTTACAGAAAATTGAAATTAAACAAAAACCGAAAGAACCAGACAATGGTTTACGGTTCGCCAACAGTGGGAAGTCCTCGATCCCACCGTATTCGCCGACACCGGCACGCCAGCCCATCGCCGGACCTCCGAGCTCGACTCTAACTTTCAATCCGGTCATCAGAGGAACAAGAAACTGGCAGACGAAGGAGATAGTTAAACCCGAACCTCTTCACCGCCAGATCTGTCTTTGTAACGCAGCAACCGATCATCGACCACGCGACCCATCTAGACCCGCGAGCAAGCTCCGAGCCGCCTCGTGATTCCGCTACAGAGCAGCTCGA